CAAGACAACAACAACAGCGCAACCATTACTAGCACTGGTCTGACCTCTCCTTAAGTATATCTAGAGATGTGAAAACGCATTGAATAAGAAATCTTTCGGACCTAATATTGACTGAAGAAATATCGAAATATATATCGGAAAGAGTGTCCAGATTTTGATAGCTTTACTCTTTTATGATAAACATTACGGCCATAGATCTCAATAGAAGTGGAGTTTAGGTCTACGAAGTAAAGTAAAGATGTTTATAGAAAATTTGTTTGAAGACCAAAAACTACTAGTTTTGACGATAAGCGAAGCGAAGGTAACAGAAATTGTGTTCAATATCTCATTCAAGCAAACCATTGGCCAACAAATGCAACTCGAATTTCACACTCGAGATCTCCGAAACCAAACTTTTTATATATATTTTTACTGCTATTTCATATAATACACATGAATTAGAAATGATGTTTTTATTTAAACTACGGGTCTCTCTATTACACAAAAACCTGATTTTTAAATATCAGATGTCTTTTTGTATGTCTTATTCATTGTTCTCTTTCTTTCGGATTTCCACTACTTTTTGGAGGAATTGAGAAAAAGTTTGACTAAAAAATCTATAAATAATTTGTGAATTGAAGCGCAACCTGACAGATGTGAAGCAAATTATTTTTCCTAAATGTAATAAAAGCAAAGTCTTGTAGTTTTATATACATTTGAAACCAAAACCAAATCAGATTAGATTTGTTTAGTCCGTTGAGCCACAAATAAAAACAAAAATTAATTGAATATATTTTATAGAAATATTATTCAACTAGAGATACGGTTAGCAATCGATTAGTGGTTGTATCGCATCACAGATTACATACACTTCGCGATTGTTTGTGAGTTTTAGAAATTAATTTTTCATATGTTTAGTGAAAAATTGAATTTCGCTTTTCATTTGACACGAGACTCACTTAATGATCATATTATCAAATGCTAGATACTATTGCATCGGTTTTGACTTTGTTGCTTATTTATTCATTTAATTTAGTGAAAAGAGTATTTTAATCATTAATCTCTTGACATATTAAATAAAGAGAGGTTTTATTCTCGACGATTGGACCGCTATTTCGGCGAAACTTTATCGTATGTGACAAACCATTGACTGATTATAACACGAAACCATTGACTTCTGTATTATAAATAATGTGCACTCAATTAGATAGCGATAAGTAATGTCTGTTTATAGGAAAGACACATATAATGAGAAGTGAAGGCAAGACTTCATTTGATTTTTTCCCGAAATCTTAATCGTTAATGAAATGGCAGACAATTCTCCCATAAGTGTTGACAGACTCCACGAGTTGCCTAAACATACAAATAGTTTATTAAATTTAATATTTTCACACATTTTAGGTTAAAATAAATTTATGCAAAATTATTTCGTATTCAGATTTACATATCGAGAAAAGTTAATTTTATTTCACAAAATATGTAATCATTTTATGATACAAGAAAAGAAACTCTGATTTAATTTCCAGAATTCAAATATGTTTTGATAGAAAAAATTGAATTATTAATATTATTTAAATTAAATGAGCACTGATTTGATGGAGTAATGCGTTAATCTAGTAATATAACAGCAAAATATAATGTTTATATTGTAGATGAAATCTAAACGCATTATTATTAAAGTTATGCCAATATTTTACACAATAAGCTAACATTAATTCAGTATAAGAGACCACAATATGTTGCGAATCCATTCATTCATTGTGAAGGCGTTAGCAGTCATACCATATAGTCATCCATACTCTGGATGTACTTCTTATGGGTCATCATATCCACTGCCATCTTATAAGAAATGAGTCCTTTTCTGTTATTGTATTATCTGCTGACAAGTGATTGTTATAATAACTACGAATAATGTAATAATATGTTAGACTTAGTGTTAGAGTTAAAGCTTTTATTTCATAATCAAATCACAGATGTATTGCCAAAAAAGCGATGAAACTGTATATGCCTTCCCTTATATCGGTTGGGAATAAAAAATATTACATAAATACGGGAACTTTATTCAAAATTCACATCCATTACAATATATTGCATAAAAATAGTTATAATAACAATATTAAATTGAAAACAGGAATTTTATATGTTTTGCTGATAGTAAAAATGTTTATATATTATACAATGATTTGCATTTTATATACAAAATAAACAGCTCCTGACTATATAGAATGAATATATTGACGACTCGGTAGTGTTTATATGATTAGAGATAGTTTCATTAAATTATTTCTATATTAAATAGGATTAAAATAAAAATATTTTAATGCAATCAAAAGGTCGCAAAATAGTTATAATTAAGTTATCACTTACTCCATACTTATATGTCGTTTTGACATTTATCTGAAAACAAAATTTCTGTTATAAACCCATTAATATCCCCGAAATGAATTGAACGGAATTTTTTGTTATCAAATAAATTTTCAAAGCATTTCTCTCTTGACTTTCACTCCGATGTCAAAAGAATACAGTTATCCGAGAGATAAGGGAAACGCGATTTACATCAGTATTCGCAGCAAAATATATATTTTATTTCATTTATTCCTCTTCAATAAATTCATAGATTCTCGCATCCATTCAAACCATTCAAATCAATTCTCCAAAACTTATTTCTTATGTCGACAGCAGTAGAGATAAAAATAGATATTTTGGGGAATTTAGCTTTCTGGGAAACCAAATTGAAAATTAGTTTTTATCTCCACTTTATTATGTCAAACGTTGGTCGACTGATAATTATTTATTTAAAAACACTTTAGATTTTATTTGATTAAAACTTTTGATGTAAGAATTAGCCACTTCGTAGGTTAACGACTCGTTTTTTTGAAATCTTAATTAAAGTGTTACAGGTAATAGCAAATATAAAATATTTTTAATTTTAAGGGTTAAAGAATTTTTAAAATTCTTTAGTGAATCACAATTTTAAAAATTAAATATCAATAAGGAATATCATATTAAATTATTAAATTTTATAATTTGGTATTAATATTCTATTAAAAACCAAATTTAAAAGCAAAAATCATATAATTTTTATGCTATTACTGCTGAGTAAACAGGATTCAAAAATATGCTAATTATTTAATTTGATATTAAATTTGAATTTAAGACATGTCTTAACTCTAAGCTATCATTGATTTTACTGAATGTAATCAGATAAGGTTAAAATTTCATAATAAGTTTCAAATATTTGAGGTTTCATTTCAGGATGTTTGCATTGAAAAGTGGTTTTGTATTTATTTTAGTTTATGCATACAGTACAGTATACTGATATTATTAGCATTAATATTCATATTAATGACTTGAATCTGTTAGGCAAAGCAAATTTTTGCTTTGTAATTTTTATTTTTGTTTTATTTTTCTATAGAAATATTCAAATAGATCCCTGGCCTTATAATGCAAATAGATTTTTGTTTTAAAATATCAATGCAAAATATTTTTGCATTTTATTTAATATTTTATACAAAGTATTGTTAACAATAGAATCGATAATAATATGAGAAATTTCTCATACATTCAATCAAAACCGAAAATAAGAGACTGTGTCTCGTATTCACCGGTGTATTGATTTTAAGCATTCATTAAATTATGAGAATATTTTTAAGACCATAAACTTTTCAGAGATAAGTTATACCAATACAAATAAATCTTTACAAACAAGTTATAAAAATCTTGATATAAATACATATATTTTATGTTATTATATTTTTTTGGTCATTAAATTCAATGAAAATAATGAGTGAAAAGCATTTCTTTAAACTTTATATAATAAAACAAATTCTGTACTAATTTAATGCATTCATAATACAGTACACAATACGTCTGGCATATTCTCTTATTTACAAAATATGTATTATATATTTTATTTGCGAATAAATATAAGGAAATATCAAATGTATAATGTATTTTTAGAGTATTATACAAAATAAACATAACGTATGGAAACAAAAATAATATCTGAATAGCCAAAACCAAACGTAACAGAAAAATTGCTTTAATTTCTTCTTGAAACATTGCTTTTCTGTAAAGTTTGAAATTTATAATGTTTAATATAAGTAATTTTCAAACTTTACATAAAAGCAATGTTTCAAGAAGAAATTAAAATAACTTTTCAGTTACGTTTGGTTTTGGCTATTCAGATATAATGTTTAGACGTCTATCCAAAGACAGCAAAAAAGAGTGAATAATTCTTTCGTTCAATTAATTGCATTAAAACTTATAATTCATTTTCTATGAGTTTTCCCAATCCCATGGGTTTGGAGTTTGGATACAATATTTCAATGCAATATCGGAGTGAACACACAAATGCATTCAATAATACTCTACAATAGAAGTCCACCTTTTAATCTCATAAATATAATAATCAGATCCGAAAAAGTCAGCAAAAATGGTCTGTCAATGACGCTTAGCTAATGGGCGACCATTTCTTTGCTCCCAATGCTCTCAATGGTACTCATCCTCTCAATTATCAAACATTTTCTCCACTCGTTTTCAGTTATTATTAAATTTTATGCAAAAATAGTTTTATTGATTAGAGTTTCGGGAAATTAAGCCAATTCTCTGACTAATTGGAAAAAATAGACTCATTTATCAAAATTATTTTACAAAATATATTCCGTTTTTGAATATAAACTAAGAGTCAGTTATTATTAATTAAAAATTGCGAGGAAATGAGTCCAACGAATGGGAATTCTATGCGTTTGAATGCCTTTCAATTCACTCTTCATTTAAGCCTTTTGTCTGTAATTTAGTGTTAATTTGAAACGAAATCTCATTTCATTTGCCACACCATACAGACGTACCCCAACTATCACTGCGTTTGGGCAGTAAATTACGGCACTCACACATCCAAGAGGGCAATGATGTCTACTTCGAGTGCAACATAAGGGCCGCGCCGTGGGTTACGGAGATTAGGTGGTGGTTCGAGGGCAAGGAGATCCACACCAACACGTCGGCCGGTGTTATAGTCAGCAATCAATCCCTTGTACTCCAGAGAGTGCAACGCTTGCAGAGGGGAAGGTATACCTGCAGTGCTGTCAACACAGAGGGTGAGGGAGAAAGCAATTCCGTTCACCTCAGAGTACAGTACGCGCCCGTCTGTAAGCAAGGTCAGTCATGAACCAACTTACCAATTACACTTTTCTCTATATCACATACAAACAAAACAATCATTCATTATAACAACCCAACAAAAAACAAATTGTTTGCTCCGATTGCAACTGTTTTCATATAATTTATGTCTTTTTTATACAAAAATGTCAACAATTTTTAGGCCAAAAGATTCTGTACGGGGCGGCCAGACATGAATCCGTCAAAATATATTGCGAGGTGGAGGCGGACCCGCCAGATGTCAATTTCAGGTGGGGTTTCAACTCGTCGGGCGATCAAATGGAAATCATGAACCACGTGACCGAGGGGTCGACGAGTGTGGCCACATATATGCCTCGCACTGAGTTTGATTACGGGGCCCTATTTTGTTGGGCGCGCAACGCCGTGGGCACCCAACTAGAGCCGTGCACTTACACTATAATACCCGCGGGTCCGCCCGACTCCGTCAAGAACTGTACGGTACTTAATGTGACCGAAGACTCAATCAAAGTAGACTGCGTTGAGGGCTATGACGGCGGACTTCTTCAGCACTTCATATTAGAGATTCACGACACGGTTCAGCACAAACTCAGGGCAAACATCACGAATGCCTGGCCTTCGTTCACAGCCAAACGTCTTCCAGCGGGCAGTAGTTTCCTGATTGTCATATACGCCGCCAACACCAAGGGTCGCTCCAAAGGGGTCGCCCTCACGGCCACCACATTATCTCTGCCCGAATCCATGAACAGATTGGGTAGAGGTATGCCATACACGCCATACAAACCACTGATTTATATTTTATACAAAACACTCGTTTCGCTCGATATTTAAAACACAATTTTATTGGAAAATCGTTAAGGAGTTTAAAATTTATGGTTTGAAAGTCTTATAAAATGTTATCAAAAAAAACTTTTTTGTTTTCATTCAAAAAAAACTCGCAAAACATTAGCAAAATATGTGTTGTAGTGTTGGTATCGGACGAGACGTGTTTTGTGTGGAATATTCTTCACTATATATGTATTGATATAATTCTTATCTGTATTTCTATTTTTCCATTTTGTGTTATCAATAAAAGGCAATGTCTGGCAGTTAAGCTTTAGTCCAGTGCTGGCCGTACTAATAGCCATAGTGTTGGCACTGGTGGTCATTGCCTTTGTTATCGTAATCGTTATGAAGTTTAAGTCCAGTTCTGCTCGACTTCGCAATGAAAGAGGTAAGCGTTCAGTGAATGGACACACAGAATGACAATTCAATAATTGACACATTTTTCGCTCAAATATCAGTACTTTAACTAACACTCAAACACTAAATGAGTATATATTTCACCACAACTCCCATCACTTTCCTCTTCACTCTTATTCTTCTCTTGCGATCGAAAACTCAGGCGAAATGTCTGCCGAGAAAAATGAGTGCATTTTTTGTATGAAAAAATATTGATTCAATGATTATATTTGAATACAAATAAGGGTTTTATTTAACTAAACCGATAAACTGTATATAAACTTATTTCGTTTTGATTTGAGTGCATTTTTTACATCAAAAAATAGACAAACATTTGAAATTTGAATGTCTATTATAATAGAGAAGTGTATTTCAAGTGACATTCGTTTATCAAAATTCCTGTTTTATAGCCGCAGGACATGTAATGAGAAGAATAAGATTTGACTACTTTTCTCCTCTGTATTCGTAAACCAATTCAACGAAAAAGAAAAATGTATTAAAATTTAGTAAAGAATAGGGAAAATATATTTGTAACACCTTTTGATACGATTTAAAACTCATCAATGGATACGACATTCATATTTGAAAATCAAAACCTCCTTATCTGTGATGTGAGCGTCAGTTTCAGAGACTCTAAGAAAGTATACGAGAAAATCGATACCTCCTTATAGTTGAGGCAAACATTGCTTTACAATACATTCTCTGACTTTTTATTTCTTATACGTTTTTTCTCGTCTTATTTATTAACACAAAGGAAAACACAGTGCAAAGAAAATGTGAATCTATTTTATTTCTCTCATTTCGTTTAGTCTCTGAATGTCGAGAGATTTCCACTGAAGAGAAAAGAATTTTCCATTTTTTACTTTTAGTCATTCAAATAAATTAATTAAATTTATTTTTACTTTGGATCCTATTTCGATAATCCGTGAAATATTTACAACTCGTATATAAAAATCTTTTTATCGGAAACATTTTAAGCAAAAATGCAATTTTTGTACTAATAGTAATATTTGACTGAAATTATGCCAACGACTTCAGGAAAAACATATTTTCTTATTTTCAGTTGAATTTCAAGTTAATTAATTGAATGTAAATAAAACATCAAAACTCGCTTTACGTTTGGCGAGACTAACACATATACACACTTTTAGGGGTTTTTTGAATACCAGTCCTCTTCGTTGAGCAAAGTTTTCATTTATTTCCATAATTTAAAACACAATTTCAACTGTATTTCTCATATAAATAGCAAAAAATCGTAATATGAAAGACAAGACAACTATCGCTATAAGAAAAAGCGTGGATGAGATATGCGATGTGTGCACTTGCGGGGGTGACCAGGATGATAAATGCCCAGATATTATTCCAGGTAATTTACTTGGACTCTCACCACACTTTAAGCTTAAATGCTAAAGCTTAAAAAATATACAAAGATTTGTGTAGTTTTGCTTATTTCAAGAGAAAAATTGAGGGAAAATATTGCTTAATTTTATGTATTAAAGTATTGGTTAAACATTTTTGCACTATTTATGTGTCGTATATGCAAATGCATTATCCGTTATATTTTGTGGTCTTTTTAAGCAATTTATTGGAAAACAATTTGCAAACACTAGAGTCACAACTTTGCAATCTCTGCCATCCATTCCCTTTTCCCGAACATTTAGAAATCCAATGGAATTTTCAAGAATATTCTTAAACTCTGTTCAATTAATTTCTATAACATTTGTATTAAATTAAATAATGAATAATGTCTTCACTAAATCATTTAAACCCTGAAAATTATATGAGAGCCTTTCCCAGGGATGGATGTGTAGAGAATTGTCAGGAATTGATAAAAGTTGAGACTCTATTTGCCCAACATTTGCCATTATGTATGTATGCTATGTATGGCATTGTCGTAATGCATGTGTGATATGTGTGTGTAATGTATGCATCGTTTGCATAACTTTTTGCACTTATTTCGTAAGATATTATTTATTAAATCTTTTATTTTTATTTTATTCATGAATTAATTTCAGTAAATAATGAATTCGCGAGACATTTTTACTAATATTTCATCACAAACTTTATTTCTCATTAACTATATTCTGAATACACATTTTTATTTTTGTTTTAATTTTCTTAACTAGCATTTTAATTGTTTTTCCAACCATTAATTAACTCTTATTTAAACTAAAAAATGTGAGCATGCAAATATTCTTAAAATTATAAATTGTGTGAATTGATGGCAACATTGAAATGGTGTTATGTTTGCAGACATTAGTTTAGCGTCGAGTGAAGCGATCACAAGAAACAGCGAAATCGACGACGACTTGAGTGAGAAGTGCAACAACTCTTTGACGACACCCCTGACCGCCGGTTACGGCAATGGAGTCAATGGAGGCGATGGTATTCACCACCAGAACCAACACACGACGACCCACTGGAGGGCATCGCCGCCGCCCTCACCGCCCAACTGCCGAACGGTTCGTACCATTAGTGCCCACAAAACCATTCAATGATATGACAAACACAGAGCTCCGACACATTGAGCTGTGCCTCAAGAGATATGCGTCCAAACCCCACATATTCTGTATAAACGTCGACAACGTTTTGTCTCTCGTTTTTGGTTCACTTTTTTCTCGTTTTGTTGTTTTCATTGAACTAATACTTTATATACATTTCTCGCAAAACCTATTCTTATGTTCACTCATATGTAGAAAGTATGTACACATAGTCTACAGTGTATTCCTCACACAAAACACTACATTATTGTATTCTTCACTTTCAGATCAATTTTCTATTATTTCACAAGAGATTCAAACAATACTTTATATTCATTTTTATTTCAATTTATTTCTGTTTCTCTCGCAAACAAAGTCTTTACTCAATTTTTTTATGAAATAATACAATATTCCTATCGGAAATAGGCAAACAGATAATTGTGACAATTGTTTTTATATAAAGTAGATTCATTTCCAATTGAGAATAGTTTTAGTCATTTATTTGATGATAAATTACAAGAATTAGTATTGAGTCGAAAGATATAAATCTTGTTTTTAGTGCAAAGCTTTCACATTCTCTGTGAAGTGAAAACTAATA